GCATGGGGGGTGGGCTTGCATTTGTTGGTACAGAATAATTTGCATCAATTAGGATGCCTAGAGGTAGCACAGCAATCAAAGAATGTTGGCTTTCTTACTATGAGCACAGGTTGGCAAATGAAATGTAGAAATTTGCAATTTTTGGTTTTTTTTTTTTTTTTTTTTTTTCCCCTTACCTCTAGGATCTGCAACACTGTCTATGGCCTATGCTGGAGCACGCTTTGTCTTTTCACTGCTGGATGCTATGAATGGGAAAGAGGGTGTCGTGGAATGCTCTTTTGTTAGATCTGAAGAGACTGAAAGCCCATATTTTTCAACTCCTCTACTGCTGGGGGTATGCATGTCCTAAAAGTTGTGTTAAACGTGTGCTGTACTTACTACTGTTGGCAGCCAGAATGGTTTACCAACTGGTCATCCAATAACTGGTCCTAATTTGTTGGTTTCTTTGTTTTACATTCTGCTAGAACCATGACTGCTAACTTTCTTTCTTCTCTCATTCACAAAAGAACTGTGAGAGTCAATGGTGGGCCCTACTCACTGGGTCTGTGAAATGCTACACCAACTGTCAGAAGGGAGCTGTTAACTGTCCTTATTCTGCTCTTAAGCACAACACTAGATTGTGGGGTGTCTGGGGGTTGGGTTTTTTTTTTTGGAGGGGGCGCAGGTACCACTTTTGTGGAAGAAAAATTTTCCACTGATTGGGGGGTAGTAATTATTGTGTGGCAGACAACCTAACACAAGACACACAGGGGAGTTCAGGCTGCTGGGGGTGTAAAATGAATGTAGGAAATGGCTGCACACACACTATCAGGGTCATTACCTTTTTTATAAAGTGTCCTTGGCTTGGTGCATAGCTCTCAGCCCGTCCACTCGGCCACCAGTCTACGCAATGACACGGCCATGCTGGCCCACTCTCCTCCCCAGCTTTGGATGGGGAGCGGGACTGCCCAGGAGGCAGCCAGCGGCTGCGGCCCAGTTGCTATCAGGCCACGGACCAGTATCGGTATGCAGCCCGGGGGTTGGGTACTCCTGCTCTAGACTGAGGCTAACTGAGTCTTAAATAAAACTTACTGTATGCACATAGAGAATATTGTCAGTGACAGATAAGGGCTTAATTTCTGCTGTGATAACATGTGATTGGTTGTTATACCACCTCCCACATGTATAGATTATATTTTTTAGTTTTTGTTTTTTTTAGTTTAGGTTGAATAGTTCAGGGGTCAGGAGTAGGTAATACAGCTCTTACCACACCCCCTTCACCAAATATTGATTACTACTACTGATGGAGAGGGGGCACAGAGGGAGCTAGGATCTACATGGCCATGATTGACCTTTTGTGGAACATGTGACTTCACTCAGACCATGCCTATTATTTTATGCACAGCAAAATGAAGCAAATGCTTTGTTTGAATTTTTATATTCTTTCTGCTCCTTAACAGAAAAATGGAATTGAGAAGAACCTTGGCTTGGGAAAACTGTCTCCATATGAAGAGAAGCTCATAGCTGAAGCCATAGGAGAGCTGAAGGCCTCTATTAAAAAGGGGGAGGAATTTGTGAAGAACTTCAAGTGAATGTAAAGTTTAGTTTGGAAGTTGGCTTCCTTAATTTATTGAAGCAAGGTGACACTTTAGAAATGGAGCCCATAAAATATGCTGTGAAGAGTTCTGTTTTTTGCAATAGGTGGCTGCTTTCCCAGCATGTCTCTTTTGTACATGAGATATCCTCACAGCATATACAATGGGAACTCAGTAACAGCACTTACATCAATTGCTTTTACCAGTGAAAAGCAAATACTGTTGAGATTCAGATCATGAATAAAACATCTTATTTTTCTTTCTAATGTCTCTGAAGTTTCTTGTTTTCACATGTTGTCTTGTGTCGGCACATCTTAACAGCAGTAGCCCCTCTTGAGTATGACTGTTAAAGTGCTAACTTTTCCCAGTCTGGTCAGGCTTCCCTACCAGTGCATTAGTTCATTTTGTAAGCCATTACAGCTCATTTTTTTTCATTTTGTAAAATGATCCAAGATTTGCTAAATAAAATGCAAAGGCATGGTAATATTGCCTGGTTTGGATGAACTTCATAGCATCGCTTGGCTGTGCAAGAGTCCAGAGGTATCCCACTCCAAACCGACATATCCTCAAGTGTAGCTTAAATGGAGCTGCTGAAATGGCCAATGAATGGTGCCGTAAGACCAAAGGAGTTAATGAGTACAATGATTTTCCTTGATTAAGGGATTGCGCGTGGATCAGAAACATTGCATTTGCTTGTGACTCCATGTTTATCTTAAGTCAATAAAAGACGGATTGATGAAGTGGACCTCCCCACTCTTGTATAGTCTTTTAATGGATAAATATTGCTGTGTCATTACATTTGGCTCAGTTTAAATCAAATGCATGACAGGCCTGAGAAAATGCACACTGTCTCTAGCAGACCTACTCATTGACTGAAGGGCATAACTAAAATGAAGCAGAACACTGCCTTGGGATTTAATTGCAGAAAAACTAATTCTGTTTGGTTACTCTACTTTTTGGTGCCATTTATCCACATTTAACATGGCTTGTCTATTAAAAAACATGATGGCTAAAGGTGCCCATACACCTTACAACCATCGCAAGACTTTTGTCTTGCGATGGTTGTAAGCTAAGTACGATCTGCCCATCTTGGACAGGCAGATCGTACTTGCAATTATCGCAAGCCCGCCCTGCTGAGGGGCGGGCTTCCAATGACCGCAATGCTGAACAGGCAGTGTGCGCACACCGGCCCGTTCCACAGTTCGTACGATTCTCTGCGGGTTGTCTAGCATGCTTGGTCAGCAAAAGACGTGCGATCGTACAGTAGCAATGTTTGCACGCCTTCCATCAACCTGCCGATTATCGTACGATCGCAGGATTTCCCGTGATTATTGTACGATAATCATACAGTGTATGGGCACCTTTGCAGTTTGAAAACCTGGGTTAAGAACCCACAAGGGACACCATTTGCATAGTATTTGGTTAGCCACAGACGCACCTTTTCTGACTGTTTTTCACTTGGCTAGTCAGTGTCACTACTGGTAGCATGAGGTGATACCTGGACCCTATAGAGGTTGCACAGGCATGCCGACTCCTCCAGGATGGCACATCAATACGTGCCATTGCCAGAAGTTTTGCTGTGACTCCCAGCACAGTCTCAAAAACATGGAGATTACAGAACACAGGCAGTTACTCTAGGAGAGCTGGACAGGGCTGTAGAAGGTCCTTAACCCATCAGCAGGACCGGTATCTGCTCCTTTTGTGCAAGGAGGAACAGGATGAGCACTGCCAGAGCCCTACAAAACGACCTCCAGCAGGTCACTGGTGTGAATGTCTCTGACCACACAATCCAAAACAAACTTCATGAGGGTGGCCTGAGGGCCGATGTCCTCTAGTGGGCCCTGTGCTCACTGCCCGGCACCATGGAGGTTGATTGGCATTTGCCATTGAACACCAGAATTGGCAGGTCTGCCACTGGTGCCCTGTGCTTTTCACAGCTGAGAGCAGTTTCACCCTGTTCACATGTGACAGACATGAAAAGTTATGGAGAAGCCGTGGAGAACGTTATGCTGCCTGTAACATCGTTCAGCATGACTGGTTTGGTGGGTCAGTGATGGTCTGGGGAGGGAAGCACAGACCTCTACAGGCTAGACAATGGCACCCTGACTGCCATTAGGTATCGGGATGAAATCCTTGGACCCATTGTCAGACCCTACGCTTGTGCAGTGGGTCCTGGGTTCCTCCTGGTGCATGACAATGCCCAGCCTCATGTGGTGAGAGTATGCATCCAGTTCCTTGAGGAAGAAGGAATTTATACCATTGAATGGCCCCCATGCTCACCTGACCTGAATCCAATAGAACACCTCTGGGGCATTATGTCTCGGTCCATCTGACGCCGCCAGGTTGCACCTCAGTCTATTCAGGAGCTCAGTGATGCCCTGGTCCAGATCTAGGAGGAGATACTGCAGGACACCATGCGCCGTCTCATTAGAAGCATGCCCTGAAGTTGTCAAGCATCCATACAAGCACGTGGGGGCCATACAAACTACTGAGTACCATTTTGAGTTGCTGCAATGAAATTTCAGCACAATGGACTAGCCTGCTGCATCATTTGTTCACTTTGATTATTGGGGTGTCTTTGAATTCGGCACTCTAGGTTGATCATTTTTCATTTCCATGAAACGATGTGGCATCCTTCTGTTCCCAACACATTACCCCGTCCAGTATACAGTAGATATCCAGCATGATATTTTTCCCCATTGAGATCTGATGTGTTTTCACAGTGTTCCTTTAATTTTTTAGAGCAGTTTAGTACTGGATTGTATAGTTTTCATAAATTTGGCTCTACCACGTCTGGATTCTATATAGAATTACCATTTATGTGTAGTTTGGTGGGAGGGGGCGTTCTGTGCCGTAGTCCAGTAAGATATAAATGTGAAAGGCTTGTCATAAAGGGGGAGGGGTGGGGTGTGTTTAATTTTCTTTCTTTTTTTTTTTCTTCCAGGTACATGGCCATATTTAAAAAAGAAAATAGAATTACCTACAGTGAATGTCACGGTTTTATAAATAGCCCCTAATCCAGATCTGTACACAGCATTGTGACAAATTAGTCTTAGTGTGTAATTGCAGGTTTTAGTGCAGTTACACTTCTCCACGCAGTCCTATTAGCCAAGATCTATGGATGGCTTATAAAATATCTTCTGT